ATATATATATATATATATATATATATATGCAGTATATAGTGTAAAATGTTTTTTAAACAAGTCTATTCTTTCTATATGCACTTATTTCATACATTCTGTGAAGTTACAATTTAGTGACTTTAGTGACAAACATAGAAACCAGTCTTCAACCTCAGATAGTTGTCAGCTTTAGGTCAAATTTTTTATATTAAAGGGGTCATATGATGCGATTTCAAGTTTTCTTTTCTCATACAAACAACAAAAATCGTACCTTTTAAGGCGCACAGAGACTGTATCAGCAGCTCTGCATGTCCTAAGCTGTATACTGTGATCAGGGCCGTTTCTAGCCAATTTGACGCCCTAGGTGAAATCCCCATTTATATATTATACCAGAATATATATATTCATACATTATTTTCAGATTCAGTGCATTCCACAAATCTGAATGCATTATTTGTAAATTGACTGTTAAGAAACATTTTGCACAATTTAGTATCTGTAATATCATTGTGTTGCCACTAGATGCTTGTATACCCCTATGTAGCAATCCCTAGTGGCTAAGACATTGCACATAAATACATTTTAATTTGGATACTATACTACACTACATATTGTTTAGATCAGTGTTTCCCAACCTTTTTTTAGTCGCGGCACCCTTTGGAAATTAACAAACTTGTGGCACCCTACAAAATTAATTGTCACAATATTTGAATTTCTAACTTCGATATGATCATTTGAAAAGTATAGATATTCGGTACAGCAGGGAAGAACTGCAGAATATAATGTCATACAGATATTTTTAATATTATTTAAAAAAATGTTGTCCATCAATGGTGGCAATCAGTAGGCTAATTTCTAATGAAGAGACCAATTTATATGACAGATTTTAAGGTAGGTTTTTATACATATGTAAACATGATTTAATTACCATTATAACTAGCTATCTCAAATTTTAGCTCACTCAGTGTTTTTTTTTATTTTACAGTGCGGTAATTTTGGTGCAGTAGCACGAGACAGCTTGATTTCAAACTTTGAATTGAATAAAAAAAAAAATTATAAGTAAGCAGTCAGTAATAAAATAAGAACAAATAAAGAAATTAATAATGATAGCACAAAAAAAAAATAACAGGCCTTTCGAATTGAATAAATTGCTTTAGTTTTTCAGGTAGGTCTAACAGTTGGGTTAAGATAACTGGTAAAAATATATATATATATATATATATTTTTTTTTTTAAATATCCAAATAATGTTTAGTTCTAGAAAGCTATTATTATCAGAACACGCGAGCATAACATAGCGGTTAGCAGATCAATGAATGAGAGGGCAGCATTACCAGAGTTGCCCATATACCGCACCATGTTACAACACAGTAGCTGTAACGGGGCTGACGAGACGTGAGACGTGTGGATCCATCTGCAAGCTTTTAATAGAGAGACGTGGTAAACAGGCAGGGTCAAACAATGGCAAACAGGTATATGGCAGGCAAAACACAAGAATAGTCCTAGGGCTAGCGTAGGTCACCGATCGGCAGACAGAATCACAGGGGCGAGACGAGAGGGGAAAAAAAACAGGAAAACAGGCAAAGATCAAAAACCGCAAAAAACAGGCAAGGCAAAACAAGGAAAACACGGAGACTCGGAAAGGGGTACAGGCTAAACAAGGAAAACACAGCGACTCAGAAAGGGGTACAGGCTAAACAATACTCAGCAGAGAAAGGTGGTTAGAGTGGGTGTTATATAGTGAATGAGGTAATTAGAAACAGCTGTGTGCAATGAGTGCAATCAGGGCAGTGTGCAAATTGTGCAAAGAATGATGGGAAATGTAGTCCGGGGTGCTATGCAACAGTTTGTGTAGTGCGAGAGTCAATGTAATGGAAAGTGTGACATCTGGTGGTGAATAAACGGAAGTCCATGAACCGAATTCGTGACAGTAGGGCTATTGCAGACAGAAACAATACTGTACTACATCGATGTTTCCTATCGGCTCAATTTTTGAGTGGACTTTGCTGTTCCGATGAGCATGAACGGTATACGAGTGGAGCACTCA